CCTAGAACTCACTATGCAGCTAAGACTGGCTTTGAATTCCCCATCTCCCAGTTCCTGCTCCGCAGGGCCAGGATTACAGGTCCATGCTACCACACCCAGCCGGTCACACAGTCTTTCAAGATAGACTGCTTCCATTCTATCAAATGTTTTCAGTTCTTTATGTAAGAATTAGATCAGCCTTTTTTCATCAAATTATTAGTAAGTCATTAGATAGAGATAACGTGTTTACCCCTTGCAGCCAGGCGTGGTGGCGCACACCTGTAATCCCAGCACTCAGGGAGGCAGAGACAGGTGGATTTCTGTGAGTTTGAGGCCAGCCTGGTCTACAAGGTGTGTCCAGGATAGCCAAGGCGACACAAAGAAACCCTGTCTGGAAGAAAAAAACAAAACAAAACAAAACAAAACAACAACAACAAAAAAAGTTTATCCCTTATTGCTCTCTATTGCCTCCCATGCCTGTCATGTCTCAGCCTTTGCTTGGTTTTTCCGCATACGCTTGAATTTAAGGGGCTGTGTTTGACCTCAGATGTTGGCAGCAGCTGCACACCTGAACACTTGCAGGGCACCTTGGCAAAAGCATTACCACCAGGGGACAGTTCTGGAATCCATAGAGAAAAAGGTACTGGAAGTGTTACAAATATATAATGATGATGATGATGATGAAAAGAAACAGCAAACACTTCAGCTCATCGTCATGAAAACCCAGTTCATTATTTGATGTGAGGGAAGACCAAAGGCTAGGGGCTGCTGGCTCCGGTGTGGATGCCTAGGTAGGTAATGGTACTCTGAGCCCAGAGAGGGGCTGGGGGAAGAGCAGATTTGGAGGACTCGGATGAAGATGATGAGCTTTTGTTGGGACATGATGGTTTTGAGATTCTTGTGGGACATTCAAGCACAGCTGTCTGGAAGGCAGCTGGACATTTACGTTCTCCGTCTAGGTGAGGTCTGGGAGGCAGGTACAGAGCCAGGGACCATAAGAACGTGGTGGTGAAAGAAGCCCAGGATGGGTTAAGATCACAACTGCATGGGTGAAAAGAGGCTTTTGGGTAGAAGCCAACCTTCAAAGAGCAAGCAGAAGACAGGGAAACTGCCAAGGACTCACCAATGATTTCAGGCAAATGTAAATCCATTGCATTTGTGCAAAATAGTCACATTTTTTTTCTAGTAAAAATATCACAAATAAAGATACTGGGATAATTTTGCTAATTTTATCTGACTACATCAGTATAGATAAATGTCATATTTCAAAATTGAACTTACAGCTAGACATGATCACTAATGTCTGTTATCCCAGGACTTGGAGGCTGAGGCAAGATTTCTAGGAGAAGGTCAAGGCCAGTCTGGGCAACAGAGAGACCTATCTAAAAACAACAACAACAAACCCTAGATTATTAGGTTTACTCCAAAAAAAAAAAAAATACAAGTACCAGTTGACACAAGGAAAGCTGTTTGACCTCACCAGGAGAAATGCCATTCAAAATACAAATCAAGGCCGGGGTAGTGCACATCTTCAATCTCAGCACTTGGAAGGACAGAGGTAAGCAGATCTCTACAAGTTCAAGGCCAGCATAAGCTACTTAGTCAGTTCCATGCCAGGCAATGACACATGCTGAGACCATGTTTCAAAAAATAATAATAATAAGGGGAAAAAAGGAAAAAATTACAAATCAAATTTAACTCTTAATTAGATAATAACAATAGATTTAACCAATAACATAAACTTAAAATGAAGTCTGTCTCCTTAAACCATGTCCTAATATGAATTGTCTTCCTGACAGAACAGAGAAGTTACCCAGAGATTCACGCATGCTTAAAGACCATTGCTTAGAAAGAAAAGGATGCACCTGAGCAGCTCACACTCCTACAAGTGGGAAGCCATTTGTGTTGATACACAATTCTGCAAAACGTAGTGGTGTTTACAACCCAGAAATCCTTAATGACCCCAGTGGCCAATTCAGAGGTTTGCCAAACATGTTGGTAAAAGCCAAGAAAAATACTGACCGAACTTGTCTTATTCAAACCTGAACTAGTACAAACAAGGTCTCTTCAGGTCCACCGTAGATAATGATAATCATGATGCCCGGACACTGTAGTTACTCAGCTCTGCGCACTTTCAAACAGAAAGTCATCAACTGTATGACTGAAGGGTGATTTAATCTGTTTATCCTAAAAATAAAGTCTTATAAAAGGAAAACATTTACTTTTGTAGCCCGAGACTCTGTTTTTGTTTTATACAAAATATTGTCCAAGCTGGTCGTGGTGGTGTGTGCCTTCAATTCCAACACTCTGGAGGCAAAGACAGGTGGATTTCTGTGAGTTCAAGGCCTGCCTGGTCTACATAGTGAGGCCCTGTCACAAAAATAAATTAATAAGCTGGGTGTGGTGGCACATGCCTTTAGTCTAAGCACTAAGGAGGCAGGGGCAGGCAGTTTAAGGCCAACCTAGCCTACGAAGTGAGTTCTAGGACAGCCAGGGCTACAGAGAGAAACCCTGTCTCCAAAACCATAAAATTAAACTAATTAATTAATAAGTAGTAAAGAATATACAGTGCCCAAAAATGTAAGTAAAAATGTATTTTATGACAACCTTGGCAACAAGTGCCAGGAAAGAAAGAAACAGCGTGATCCATGAGAACAAGTTTCAGATTAGCTAGGAAAGATAGGCTTTGAGCTGCCCCCGCCCACACACACACACCACTCATTAACTTAAATTCCAAATATTCAAAGAATTAAATCTGAGAGAACTTTTTTTAAGGGAAAAGTGGTTATCTGTTCTTTAAAAGAAAGATCGAGCTTTAAAAAATATAAATCAGAAATTGGGTGTGGAGGCACAAAACTTTAATTACTGTCCAGGGAGACAGAGGCAGGAGGAGCTCTGTGAGTTTGAGGCCAGCTTGGTTTACATGGTAAATTCCAGGGCAATTGGGCTATGTAGAAAGGCCCTGTCTCAACAAAACAAAACAAAACCTAAACAATTTAAATCATGGCTGGAAAGATGGCTTGGTGGTTAAGACCACTTGCTGTTCTTCAAGGTTCAATTTTAAGCACACGCATGAGAGCTCACAACCATCTGTAACTCCAGTGTCAGGGGAGCTGATGCCCTCTTCTGACCTCTGAAGGCACCAGGAATGCACATGGAGCACTACATATGTGGAGGCAAAACACTCATACTTACCAAATAGCAGATCGCACACACACATTATGAAGGACAAGAAGTATGGCTTGGAATGTTAAGACACTGCCTGAACCGAGAATTTACCCAAGAAACCCCAAGATTGAGCAGTGCAACATGAAAAAAGAAAGTTCAACTTCACTAACATTCAAAGAAACACAAATCAAAGTGCCCCGTTCAAGCCTCAGATTAGCACAAGTTCTCTTAAATAACATTATGGCAAAATTAATGTGAGAAAACAAGACATCCACATATCAATGGTTTAGGGTGTGAACTGGTACACCCCATCTAAAAATGCAATTACCACCTGATAATGAGGCATAAAATATGACACCCTTTAATGTGGCAATCTCTTTCTAGGAACTGTGAGAAGACATTCAAAATTGAGGACAAAAAAAATCATGTTCACGATGGGCACAGTGGTGCACACCTGTGATCCAAGCACCGTAATTCCAGGGGAGGCAGAGGCAGGCAGATCTCTGTGAGTTCAAGGCCAGCCTGGTCTACAGCATGAGCTCCAGGGCAGCCAGGGCTACATAACAAAACTCTATCTCAAAGAACCACAGATAGATAGATAGATAGATGATCAATCGATCAAATGGAATATTTTTAAAATGTCTTCACAAAGTATTCTTAGAGCTGGGATGTAGCTCAGTTGGTAGATGGCTTGCCTAGCACACACAATACTTGGGTTTCATCACCAAGATTGCAAAAGCTTTCGAAGGTGGAGGCAGGAGGATCAGGAGGTCAGGCTCACCTTTGGCCACATAAAGAGTTTGATGCTAGCCTGGGCTACATGTGACTTGGTCTCAAAATAACAACAAAAATGGTATTTGAAAATCATAAAGAACGCTCTATAAAGTTATAGGACAACGTTCAAAGTTATATTCATATTTAAATGCTTTAGATATTACAATGCACACATAGAATGTCTATTCCGTCCCTGCTGCATGGCGATGAGGAAACAGCTAGATTTTTCTCTGAATTTGCAGAGTCTACATGGGGTGACCTCATGCACAACCCTAAAATATGGGTTAGGTAGCACAAAAGCAATCTGTTCTCTATGCCAATAGGTTCGTCATTCTCCAAAAGACGTTTGGGTGGGGTCTGCTCTTGAGCAACTGCGGGTGGCTCCTTCAAAGGAGGTAACAAAAGGTACTGAAAACAGCCATTCCCCTGAGAACAAAGAAAGAGCCAACAACGCGTGTGTGACTGCAGATGGCCGTGTGAGCTCATTTTAAAGGCTGGAAAGGGAGCTCCTAAAATCCCGGCAGTGGTTTCTGAGTGGAGATATTTTAGAAGTGCATCAAGTGTTAGCTACGAGGCGCATGGGGCCTCTTACACTAAATTAAATTCAACTCAATTTAAAGCTCCCTCCCTCCATCGCAGTTGTCACATTGCAAGGGTTTACTGGCCAAGGTAGCAAGTGGCTACCAAATCAGACAAAGATCACTTCAGTTGTCACATAAAGATAACCTGGACAGCCCTATTCTATTTGGAAAGTGCTCTTTCCAAACATCTTCCAGTCCGCGCTGCAGTATTTTCCACCTAGAAGCTGAGAGGGTGCTATAAGAAGAACATGGGGTCCACAGAAGAGGCAATCACACTAGAGGTGCAGAGGCCACATCCTCTGAGAGGAGCCTGGGGGACTAATATCCTGTGGGGACATATCGGTAGCTGCAGGCACTCAGGGAGTATCAGGAAAGACTCAGAGGAGACATGAGCATGGTGGACATCCCCAGGGAAGAAAAGACACAGAGACTCGAGCAGCAAGGGTGGGAAGGAGGTCATTAGAGCAAGAATCATAGGTTCTGTCTCTCCCCACTCACCAGCCATTACAGCTGCTGACCGCTGAGCTGGCTCAAAAGGACATTTCCCCCGGCCACTCTCAAGTCTTTCAACCTGCTGGAAACTGGACACATCCTACAGACCAGAAGGAGGGGCAGGTGGTTTAGGGTTTATGGGGAAGGTTCATGGTGAGAATTAAACAGAAGATCAAATGAAGAAAAAGCCCATTTCCAGTCAGACCCCGTTCACCCCACGCCCACTCCCACATTCAGTCACCTCACTTCTGGTTCCTCCACCCCACTCATTGCTTTTCTCTACTTTATTCCTCTTTGCCCTCAGACCTGTCCCCAACACTTGCCCATGAAAGCATACCTAGAACAGCCCTAGAAAATACCATGAGGCTGGACACAGACCTCTCCTCTGAAATTCTGGAGTTTGTAACTGCCTCGAAGATGCGATGCGTTGCAGCCAAAGAGATGGAAGAAATAGGCAGCCTTTTGAGAATTGGAGCTCTGAGGAAGGGCCAGGAAAAGCTTAAGTCTATGGGAACCAGCTGAAGTCCAGAGTCTTGAAGGAAACAAAGTATCATTCTTCCCCAACTCCCACCCAAGGGCGGAGGAGAGGGCTAGGTCCCATCCAAGCAGAGAAGGAAACCGTTAAGTCAGTGAAGAATGACCCAAAGCTCAGATCATGATTTTGTCAGATAAGCATCTTCTTTCAGGCACCTTCTGAGAGAGGGGTGGGAGGTGACAGACATAGGAGTTCCTCCAGGGCCAGTCACAAGTGACATTAGCCTAGTGTATAGCACTAAGAGAGTTTCAAGATAATATCTGAAAGTGGAAAGGAAGGATGGTTTCACACTAGGGCTCAGAGAAACATTCCTGTAGTTGGTTTCAAAGCAAAGCTACCATGTGGACATGCCAGGCATGCTGTCCCTGGCTTGCAAACTCAAGCAGACACACACTGTGGCTGCAGCTTAATTGTTCTGATGGTAGTTAGGGATGAGAGACAAAGATGTGTCCCCTGAGCTGAACGCTTCTACTGGATGATAAGCAACTCTCCTCTCTTTGCTTCACATGGCAAACAAGGTTTGATCCACTGAGACAATTCCTAAAGTAGGCCTGTGCAGATGAGGTGTAATCTGATGGCCTCTCCAAAGGAAGAGCCCACATAAGCACACCACTCCAAGTAGAGAGAACATCCTTGTCTGAGGAGAAAGATGGTAGTTTTGTGTCTACCAAGGTGCCTGGGCCTCAAGTGCACTTAGCATCTACTGTGGCTGCACCTCTGTCCCACCTGAGCTACTCCTTGCCCTAGGCCGGATATCTCCACCCCCAATACTTAACTCACGTCAATCTTCCAGAATATCTCTCTCTCTCTCTCTCTCACGCACACACACACACACACACACACACACACACACACACCATTGCCTGGAGTACAAACTCTAACCCAACCTACTTATTTTCTACTACTTCTCAAAATTATCTTTGTTCTGTCCAAGCAAACCACCTGGAAAACAAGCTGTTTTCCCATCTCTGTGCCTAAAGCTGCTCCCTTCCATTTCACGAAAGACCAAAAAGATGAGCCTTTTCCTGGTTTCCATCCACTTCAGTCTCTATGTATGAACTGGCCCGTTCAATTCGTTTCCTTGCAGTTACTCCATTCCTTGGCTCCTGAAACTCTGCCTGGAGTCCTTTCTCCTACTTGATTTTTTCTTTAGCTCCTCCTTTTTCTAGCCCTACCTCACATATCCTTAGGGCCTGTCTGTAGTCTAACGTGTCATTCAAATAGCCCATTCATTCTTCCTTTTCCAGCCTTTCTAAGTAAACCACTGGCCAAACTCTCTGGGACTGATGTCCCTAACGAGTCCCACACCCTCCAAACCTGAATCCATATTTCCATTGACTGCTGGGCTTTCTCGAAGTGTTTACCTGTCAGCTTCTTAAAACTCAACATGCCAGGACCGGCTTCCTCCCAATTTTCCCCCAGCGGCGTAATCCTACCATCTAACCTAACCTTTGAGAAATCCAGCCCCCCGTTAACAGCAGTCTCTGATTATCCTCTGTTGAAAATGACCTTGAACTGGGGTGAGAAAATGGAAGAGCGTCACACTGATTCTCTGTCTGTATGAAGATGCTGTTCATTACATCCTCATGTCAGGAAACAGTCTCACTGTCAGCTGTGCTGGCCTCCCTCAAGCTGAAATCTGGGGACGGATAGGATGGCTCTCCATGAGCACTGATGCCGGAGTTGGCCCTTTGGCCTTGCCCAAGAAGAATAAACAGAAGGCATATCAAGGACTGCTCCTAGGTGGGGAAAAAATAGTCTCCAAGACGTATGAACCATGCCAGATGCCACAAGAGACTGAGCCACAGGAAGTCCCCTCATCGGCAGGCAGAGTGGCCACACAGACAGATTGTAGACCACATCTAGACCAACCCAGCTTCAAGTACTGGCTCTGCCTCTGCTAGCTACATAATCTTAGCCACGGTATCTAATTTCTATGAATATCAGTTTCCTTGCTTATAAAATAGAAACGAATCACACCCAAATAGCATGATGTGGTAACAAAATCAAACTTAACTGAACATAAGGTCCCTAAGCCTGCAACAGAGCGAATGGCCATTGCTGTTCTGGTGGTCATTATTGAAGCCTAGTACTTTTGTTAATGGCTGGAGTTCCCTTAACAAGTCACATTAAAATGACTGTTGCCAAAATTGGCAGATCCAGGGCTTCTTAAGAACCTTCATTTCTCCACAATTGTCAATGAGTAAGTTGTGTCCAGATCAAAGATTTCAGGGAACAGTATCCACAGTGTCAGCGTTATTACTTGGGAAGATTCTGCGCTAAAGGTAAAGCAAGAATGTAACCAAACAGAATAAGACAGGGAAAAGCAGCAGAGGATGTTCCAAAAAGTCTATAGAGCAGGCCTGGGGTGGAGCTTGGAGGGCTACACTCTCCCTCCAAAGAACTGCCCCTCAGTTCGAGAGCCTGTTAGATAGAGGGCTTCAGAGAAGATACAGAACTGGTGAGATGAACTGGTGGGACATGGGACCCTGGCTTCACTCTCCATTGCTGTCATCTCTCAAGAAAAGGTAGGGGTCCAAGTCACACCAATTCATAGGCATGGCCAGAACATTTTTTATCTGGGTACACTGGCTAGGACACACTAGGATCCCAAACAAAGATGCAAGGAAGACCAGAAAGGCCAAGACGATCATCACACTCTGCGCACGCTATCACTCTGACGTCCATCCCTCTGGGAGCCCTGTGCCTGAGCAGCCTGGGAGAAAGAGCTCTGCTACATGTGGGCCTGGTGGGAACTAGAACGAACTAAGCCCTCAGTTTGGTTGGTGGGATACAGAGGTTTGCAAATACCACCCAGAACTGATAAAGCTTCGCATTCTGAAAGAATCACCCAGACTTTTGTAAAGAACATATGGAAAGAACTCGTCAAGGCCAACTAAGCCTGAGGAAAGCCCTGGGGCTCACTGGATCCATTCAAAACCAGAGACAGGAGGGTGCCCTCGAACAGAGGGGTTAGGGGGTGTGCACTCTCTAAGCCCAAGGGGATCACTGTATTAGTGCAGACTGCAGAACAGTCTAGTCGGTGCCTGCAGTTCAGGGTCAAAGCAAGAGAGAAACATCTTGCACAAAATTGTGTTCAAAGGACGTGTTGGGTTTCTGGCTCACCCAGCACTCAGTCACGGATCTGCGGCCAGAGGGCCAGTGACAACCACAGTACAAGTAACAGATAAAGGTCAGAGTTCCAAACATGTAGCTGTGACTAAACTAGATATCATCAAGAATATATTCATACCAAGACCCACAGGCCTTCACTGATAAACAAGATCTCGAAGAAAACATGGCTGGCAGAATGGCTCACCCCAAAAACAAGATCCAGAGCACAGAGCCAGCTGGTACCACATCGGAGGGTGGTGACATCAGAAGTCATGACAGTCACACCCTGTAGAGAATGGGGCTGGCAGAGGATGCCAGGAGATGATGAGGCATGCTTTGGGAGAAGAGAGCTTGGGCTGTTCTGGTAAGAAAACAGGCTCCAGCTGTGGGACCAAAGCACTCACTGGGCAAAGAAACACGAGTGTCGGACTTCCAAAGTATCTCTTGGATTTGTCCTGTTCCCAGGCCAACCAGCAACCCTAACCCACCCACTGTCTCACTGCTTGTCACACTTAGAATGTTCCACAGTCTCCAGACAACCTCCCTCTCCCACCCCGCCTGCCCCCTTGATGGCAGACAAAGGCTCCACCCTATGAGGGCATCCTCTACCCATCCCCCATACTTATCCTACATAATGGGTGTCTTAACCATGCCCAACCTGGTCACTCACAAAAATCCCCCCCCCAGTAACTCACACTGCTGCAGGCTCCCTCTCCCTCTCCCTCTCCCTCCGCCCCTGTCACTCACAATAACCCCGCACTTCGGATCAAAAGCGAAGGTGCCACAAGTGAGGAGGTGAGAGGCATTGACAATGGCGAGAATCTGGATGAAATTGTGACATTCGTCCTGGGGATCAGAGATGGTTAGAGAGAATCAGAGGCAGTGAGTATGAGGGGGGGCAGTCGGGCGTAGATCGTTAGAGGCGGTGTGGTAAGGAGGAGTGTGGGGGTGTGGTCTTAGAGCCCTAGCCTGAGGAGCACTACAGGGCACCGAGCCAAGTCAGGGCTGGGCCAGTGTCTCCACAGACAGGGAAAGGGTGCGGGCTCACACCTACCTCTTTCTTGCCTTTCTTCCTACAGTTCTGTCTGTGAGTCTCAGGCACCGTCCAGTCGATCTGAGAAAGAAGAAGAACTCTTTTCCCAGGCTCCCTTCCCCCTGCACATGGAGGTCAGGGGGAAAGAGACAGTGGTACAAACTCGACAATCTGGAAAGTTCTAAGATCCCCCACCACTGTGCTTCTCAAACTGGAGACCCCCTCCCTTCCCCGACACTAGTGAGGAACAAAACCAACTGGGAAACCAAAACTACATTTAAATTTTTGTGACAGGGTCTCAAGCAGCCCAGGCTGACCTCAAGCTCTTTATAGGGCTGAGGATGACCTTGGTCCTCCTGTGCCCACCTCCCCAGGTCTGGAATCACAGGCATACACCACCACACCAGATTTTATGTGGTGCTGGAGATCAAATGCAGGGCCTCTTCCATGCTGGGTAAGTACTTTACCTACTGAGCGAATCCCCAACCCCAAACCACATTTAGAGAAATAGAGTATTTTAGGATTTGTCACTACATGTCAAAGCTGTGCCAAGTTTGTCAGGACACATTTACATTCTTGTGTGCTTTGTCACAGTGACCTGGCGGTCTTACTAACACCTGGTGAAAACAGTTGACAAATTCTCTCCCTGGAAAATCACCATTCTAGTGATGCCATTGCCCGCGGCCATGCGTCACTGTATCCTTTCCCCGTCATTATGGCTCCCATAGTCTCTCCATCACCGTGTCTCCCCATCACAGCCAAGAAGGTGAGAAGGCCCCTTCCCATTATCCCCTCCCTTCCTGACACACAAAGGATCCACACCCTGTGAGGGTGTCCTCTGCTCATCTTCTGTCCCACACAGGGATGGTGTTAACCATGCCCACCATGGTCACTCACAGACAACCCTTCCCGCCCCCCCCCCCAAGGAACTCCCGCTGCTGCGGGCCCCCCCTCCTTCTGCTCCATTACGTCATAGTTATTATGAAACTCTCCTGCCCACAGCCCACGAAATGATGGATTTAAATGTATGCTATGGGCTCTGGGTCACCCCGCTGTCATCTCTCACCCTCCGGGGTCTCTCCGCCGAGAAGGGCAGGGTTAACGCAAAGACGCTGTCCCGAGCACCGACATAAAGTGTGTGAGAAGCAGGGTCCACGAGGAGAGTAGAGTAATTGTAGGTATGAGGGGCGGCAAACCGGGTGAGATAGGAGCCAGCTTCTGGTGGGAAGAAAAGGGGACAGGAGAGGGCGGCATCAGCCATCCCTTCAGAAACACCAGGTCCCCAAAGGGGCTGATTTTTGTTGTCTGCCAAGGACTATTTATTTGGCAGCCAACAACAACGAAAGAACGTCAACAAGTTAGCCATCTCCCTGTCTCCAGTGAAAGATGACTGGGGAGGCCAGAAGCGTTAGCACCCGATCCAGTCAGACAAGCTTTTATATAAAAAGAACACTTTAAAAATAATTGCACAAATATCGAGTCTGTTACTTCTACCCACAGCAATGTGACACAAGACTTTAAAATACCTATGAAAGTGTAAGTATTTTCCTGGTCTCTCTCTGTCTCTCTCTCTCTTCTTTTTAAAAATCAAATCTCATTATATAGCCCAAGCTGGCCTTGAACTCAAAACACTCCTACCTCAGCCTCCTGACAGTCGAGGATTAGAAGTGTGTGCGCCACGGCAAGCACTCTTCCTTCCATATTTGGAGTCCACTTCCTCTCTCACCCTGCACCCTTGACTTTCCCCGTACCCCGTTCTACCCATAGTGGCTGGATATGTGCTTCTGAAATAGACCGCCCTGCATTTAACCATGGCTCTTCCGCTCACCAGCTGTGCGCAAGCAACCCGCCCTCCGGAACCTCCTCTTCCTCACGTGTAAACTACCATCCAGAGGTGTTGGGAGTTTATGTCTAAGCACAAACTTTGAGTACCTGTGACCCAGTTGTAAGTTTTGGCTTCCTTTGTACCCACTGAGGAGAAAACAAGCCCCATGCCACACTCGTGTCCACCTCAGAAGAGAGTATTTAAACTGTGACTGCCATTTGATACTTTATAGCATCCTCTGATTTCTTTCATGTCTTCCTCAGCCCTATCCTGGTTTTTAATATATATTCTTAGGCTTATTATTATTATTATTATTATTATTGTCTCTTTATAAACGCACATATATATGAGTAAAGTAACCACAAACTCCTGTCCCCTGCAGGCGGGTGTAAGCCACCAATATGGGTGCTGGGGACAGAACTCAGATCTCCTGAAAAAGCAGCTTAACAACGGAGCCTTCTCGCCAGGCCCCTTCTCGGCTTTTGGCGAAGAACTCTGAATCAACTCACTGAAGTGTTTTCTAGGACTCAAAGTAGGGAATGGGCAGAGGGAGCAGAAAGCATTCAGGAAATGAAAGTTAAGATGAGTTGATAACAGAAGGATGGAAAGAATAGCTCCAGAGATGTCGACTGTATGGAAAGCGGGCTGGAAGGATCTGGGTCTGGATGGCAGTGGGAGGGCTTTTGAAAGGACGATGAGGAAATAAAGCTGAAAAGACTGAAATCCTGTGCTAGAAATCAAGGTTGATCTTGATGGCCCACAAGAATGAAAGAAAGAAAGGGTAGGGAATCGCATGGGCTTAGAAATGAAGAGATTGCTGTGGGTGTATACCAAGAATCAGAGGGGAAAAGGACTGGAAAGGACAATGTTGGGCAAACCCCAGGCCCCCCCTGGGCCTCAGTATCCAGGTCTGCAAGGGGAGGGCTGCACCCTGCTAGAAAAGGGGGTAAGGGAGCACCTTGGCTGTGTCCTGGGAGCTGAGGTGCACGGCCAGGTCGGGGGTGGGATAGGTGAGATGGCGTGGGGTGGGATGGGATGGGATGAGATGAGGTGGAGAGGCTCAGGGTAGAGGTCTCAGTCTTGGTCCCAGAGGGGTGTGCACCGTGCAGAAGGGCCCTGGACGCTGCCGCTGGGTTTGCAGGGCAGGTGGGTGTGGACACCTGCTGTCAAGGGCTGGGCGCCGTGCAAAGGGCTGAGGACAAGGGTCCCTGTGTCTTACCAGAGATGGCCAGGGAGGTTCTGGGCACCGAGCGGGGGACGCGGCCGCACACCGGGGCGCTCAGCATCGCCAGCAGCAGCAGCAGCGGCGGCGGCGGGAAGGGCGAGACCGGAGGCAGCCGGGGGCCCGGGCGGGGCCGCTCGGCCCTGGCCAGCATCTCTGGCTCCGCCTGGTGCCGGGTGGGGCGCGTCCGGCAGCCTCTTGCTCGGTACCGCTATAGTGCGGGCCTCGGCCCCTCTCGGGTCCCCTCGGCCGAGCTCGGCCTGCAGCAGAGAGATGAAACACGACCCGACTCCACCCCCTCACGAAGGAGCCAATGGAAAACCGGTTTCTTCCTATTACCAATCAAGATTGAGTGGAGGAGGGAGGAGGAAGGAGGCCCAACCCAGGTGGAGGCGGAGCTAGGCCAGGTGGTGCAGGTGTGAGTTCCTTCCTCGGAAGGACGGGGATGTCCCTAGGCCTGGAGTCACCTGTGTGCTTACTGCAGTAGCTCCAAATCCCCAAGTATCCGTATCTGTACTACTAGGGGGAAAATGTGGGTATCTGGGTGCAGGCACTAAGTTTTTCAGAATTATTTCTTTGTTCCTTGCACACACAAATAGATGTTTGCAAGATGGCTCAGTGGATAAAAGCCCCTGAACTTGAAGTCTGAGTTTGATTTCGCCACTACCCCCTCCCTAGGGACCCCACAACATGGAAAGCAGAGAAAGCCCTCGCTCAGGTGGGCCTTTGACTTCTACATGCACGCCGTGGCACGAATGCCCGCTCCCTCCACACACACTCAAAACAGTAAAATGTAAATACACATACGAGTGTATTAGTTATTTTTCTCACTGCCACAGTCTAACTTAAGGAAGGGTTTGTTTGGGCTCGCAGTTAGAGGATATAGTCCACCATGATGAAAAGGCAGGGTGGCAAAGCAGTGAGGCGGCCGGTCTCGTATTGCATGTGCGGTGGGAAGCAGAGAGATGCATGCTGTTGTTCAGCCTTCTCTCTGTGTCTCTGTGTCTGTCTCTCTGTCCTCGATGTCAGCCCAGGAGATGGTGCCATCCATAATTAATGTGGCTCTTCCCACCTCAACCAAATCTAGTAATTGCCTCATAGAAATGCCCAAAGGTTTGTCTCAGAGTGATTCTAGGTTCTGTCAAGTAGACATTGTTAATCATCACACTATGAAAAATTAGGCTAGAGAGATGGCGCAGCAGTTAAGAATGCTTGCTGCTCTTGCAGAGGCTCTACGTTTGTTTCCCAGAACCCATGTGGTGGTTCCCAACCATCTGTAACTCCAGGACAGGGAATCTCATGTTCCCTTTTCTGGTCTCCACAAACACTGCATGCACAGTATACAGAGACATATAAGCAAGCAAAACACCTACACATGCAAAATAAAATTAAAAATCACAGTCCTTAAGTAAGAACTAAGATGAGCAGAAAGTGTGGTCAAGAATGGCCAATGTGTATTTAAGAGGAGAATCCACAGAGGTGCAGAAGGGAGGCCTGGGTTGTGCCACAGCCCTGCTCTGCATGCAATGCTACCTCATTCCTAGGCACCCGTTAAGGGGGCGGGTGCCCAGGTTTCCTACAGCAGCTGTGGTTTGCGGCAAGACTCTGAGATACGAGAACTTCCTCCTGTCTCAGAAGAAACTTCTACTCAGCAAGTGTTTGATTCGTGTGATTTCGTTTTATCTTGTTGGCCTCCTGGAAGGGAGACCTAAAACAGAAATTGGCTTGCCCTATCAGGAAACTGTATTGGGATTTGCTGTTTCACATACAGAGCTGAAGTGCTTTCCACACCCTGACAGTGTTTAGCCTTTTTAAATTCCTGCCCACTTAGGTATGTCAACAAATTCTTACCAACGATCACATCACTGCTTTCACGTTGAAAAAGAGAACTGGGTGGCAATGACTAAAAAGGAGAAAAAAGTAAAAATATAGTCTGTAGTTTGAGCTTATGTATGCAATTAACAAATAGCATGTTTAAATTCAGCAGTTTTATTACATTTAACTTGATACGATGTTGTGAGTTATTTAAGTAACATACAATTGTAAACAGATTTATAACCTACTTTGCCAATAAAGCTACTCCAGCTGTAAAAATTCCTGCTTGAGCCATAATAAACATTTATAATGGTCTAGCTAAGAAAGGACTTGATGGGTTTGAGAGATAGACGGCTCAATAGATAAGAGAATTTGCCACTCTTCCAAAGGACCTGAGTTTAGTTTCCAGCACCCATGTCAAAGGAACTCATAAACTGCCTGTAACTTCAGCTCCAAGAAATTCAACACTGTCTTCTGGCCTCTGCACCCACATATACATGAAACTTGCTCACATATACAAATAAATAATTTCTTAAAAAGAGAGAGAACATGGGTTTTGAGTAATGTGGATGTAAACACCTCTCAGTTTACTAAGGATTAACTAAATCATTCACAACAAAATTGTGACAGTTATCTAGTAAGCAATAACTTTTAAGAATTTGTAAAAGTTACGTAACTATTATGGTGGGCTTGAATGAGAACTGCTCTCCACAGGCTCAGGTTGTAGAGGAATGTTAATTCAGAACACGGCTGTTCTGGCAAGAGAGCATATCCAAAATTCTAAGTCTGTGTGATCCTGCTGTAATACAAACATTCCTTTCATCCATGAGACAGAGGCAAGCAGATCAGAGTTCAAGGCCAACCTGGAAAAGAGCAAGTTTCAGATAAAGAAAAGCTTAGATCCAGGCGTGGTAGTACATGCCTTTAATCCCAAACAATAAAGGTAAAGACAGTTTGTAGAAGGAAGCGCCCATGTTTGAAAGTGATGTCTAACTGAGTGGCAGAAAAGGCAATGAATCAGAGAAAGAGTTGACAGAATAAGATACACCCCACTCTCATGAGAAGAGGAAAGGGAGCTACTTAAGGAGCAATACAGACAGAGGAGGCAGTTTTACTGGGACAGTAATGGAGAGGCAGGTTGCAAAAAGACAGAGCTCAGGTGAAGACTGAATGAGCCAGAGAATGAGAAGGAGACAGAAGATTAGAACAGATTCCTGGAGTCAGTTTGAGACCAACAGCAATTCAGGGGCCAAGAGAGAAGCCAGTTGGTGCACACACACATGCAAGTAAAACATTCATACACGCAAAATAAAATAAATCTAAAATTAAATAAATAAAAAGATCTAAAAAGTAAACATAATCTTTGTGAACTCAGGAGTTAAGTAGTGATACTTAGTGTGTTCATTTCCCGCTCTCAGGGTTGAACAGAGAGAACTAACTGCAGACTTGCTGGATCAGAGCATGCGTGTTAGTGAGATGCCCTCACTGAGACGTGTCATTACATAGCTCAGGTTCCTTCCATGTAAAGTATGAGTGGTACTTGCTGCATTTACTAACTTCTGGCCAACATCTCATATACCATGCTCCCATCTGTCTCTTCATTGGGTGACTCTTCCCATTTCCAGATAACCTTTGTAGTAAGGGTTACTTTTTATACCTGGTACAGTACCTGCAGGGAGTAAACATTCATACTTTTGAATAGTTGGACAAATCGCTGCCATTTGTCCTGCTGTCATTTATTAACAGTTATCAGAATTGCTCTCATTCGGAGTTACCGTGTTAGACAATGAAGATATGGAGCATTTCTATCATTAAACACGGTTCCATTGGACTGACCTACTTAGACTTTCATGTTTCCGTTCATCTACCCTAAAACCACGTTTCTGCAGTCTCATTCTTACTGAAACTATGAACAATCCCTAATATCATATAGAATTAAGTTCATAGTTCTTAGTGCAAACTCTAGACCTTTACAGTTACAGATGCTCACATATACATGCATATACACACATGTATAACATATATAGCATATTATAGTATGATATATTATATTATATACTATATAATGTATATTATATACTAATATGTATTATATAACGTTTATATATATGTGTACACAGATATACAATATAGGAGAGTCATTCAAGCCCGCTGCATGGATAGCAGTCATCTGCTCCATAGTGCTTGACCCCCATGGGACTTGAGAACCAAAGGAATCCCTAAAAATAACCTGATGGTATTTTGCTGTGCCCCAGATAATAAAGTGTTTTGTATGACTGGGGGTCTTACACCATTATGATATAGTCATAGGCTATTAGTTTGTAAATAGGATGAAATCAAACCCCAGAGCCAAAAGCTTGTACCATCATGTTAGATTGGGATTGATTGACACACCGTGAAATCAGTTGTTCTGATCAAAGAGCAGTTCTTCTCATTTAAAGATTGCCCTCTGTTTCCTTTTATTTCCACACTGATTTCATCAATACTGATTTAACATATCCCACTAAAATTTCCTAAAAACTCAGATTTTTAAGATTCATATAGTATTCTACAAGTGAATATATTGTTCTTTTTAAGCCATTTCTCTATTTTGATTGCTTTTACTTTAGTTTGTTTTGTAATTAAAGATTTCATGTACATTTTGTCTTCTTTATGAACTCTCTTAGAAGCAATTTCTAAAAGCTTAAAGGCTCAAGTTAGGGTCTGGGGATATAGCCAGTGGAAGAAACTTTGCTTTGCATCAATCTCTGGGGAGGAAGAGAGAGAAGGGAAGGGAGAGTAGGAGAGAGGGAGGGAGAGAGGGAAAGAGAAAAGGGACTTGAGGGAGAGGAAGAGGAAGGGAAGGACAGAAGGGAGGGAGGAAAAAAGGGAGGAGGGGAAAAAGGAAGAGAAAGGAGGGGAAGAGAAGAGACAAAAGAAAGAAAGAAAGAAAGAAAGAAAGAAAGAAAGAAAGAAAGAAAGAAAGAAAGAAAGAAAGAAAGAAGAAAGAAAGAAAGAAAAGATGTTTTAAGCCAGGCCATGTAGCTCACACTTGTAATCACAATATTCAGGAAGGTTGAGGCAGGAGGATTGCCTGAACAACATAAATTCAAGACTAATCTGGAGTACAGAGAGAGACCCAGTCTCAAAAAAGCAAAAGCAGGGGCTAGAAAGGTGGCTCAGCAGTTAAGAGCGCTTCTTACAGAGGCGCTTCCTTCACAGTACCCATTTTGTGACCAAGAACGATCGATCATAACTCCAGTTACAGAAGAGCAAACGCCTTGTTCTGGCCTCCTCGGGCACTGCACAGACATACCTAAAACACTCATTCGCATAAAATTAAACTAAATAGATCTTTTTTAAAGGCAAAAACAAAAGAAAGAAAGCAGTGAGGCCATCTTTTTTTACTCCCCCGCCAAAAGAGACTTTTTATAGACAGACTCTAATTTTGTCTCCTTTAACTCTTTGAAA